GTGCTTCCCCTTCCTCCGTCCCAATCCCCCCCCCCCCCCCGGCCTGAGGCCTCGGGGAGCGGCGCACCGCCGTGCCGTGCCGCGGCCGCGGAGGAGGCGAGAGCGGGCAGCGATGGCGGTACTGCCCTCTCCGGCCCGCCGCAGGGCACCGAGCGACGCCTCTCTCCCGGAGACAGCCGGAGAGCAGCCGTGCGGTAGCTGCTTTGCAAATGTTTCCCTTCACTCCTGGTTCTTTTAGTGTGTTGGTGGGACTTGCTTCTTCGGCTTTTCTTTATACAGCCCCCGAAGATTTTCCTCGCGTTTCAGTTTGTGGCTGGGTTTCCATGGGTGCGCTCGCCCCAGACCTTCTGTAGATGTCTGTAGTGTCAACACTTCTGCCAGCTCTTAACTCAACGTGCTAACTCCTTGTTTCTGTTTCCTGGGAAAACACAGCTAAATTCTTAGCTTTAAGTTCAATATGTTAGGTGGTGTCTTAGCAATAATAATTTACTTGTTTTTACAGAAGACAACAGACACATGCAGGAGTCCCTCTACACTTGTTCGTGGTTCTGCTCAACTCTATTACTCTCTCACATTTATGTTTTCATCCCGATTTTCCAGTTTATAGTCTTAATTTGTATTGTTAATACTGTGTAGTGCATAACTAGAATTAGTAGGGAAACACATAAAATGCAAAACCTAGTGTGTATTTTTTCTGTAGTACGTTTGTGTCTTTTATCCAGGGCTTTTAAGAAACAATGATAAACTTCCTTTCAGGGTGGTTCTTCAGAACTGTGCAAGGTCCACAGTAGCTCAGTAAACACATGCTTGTATAACAATATATATGATTGGTTTATTAGTGTGTTTTTAGGAAAATAGGGAGGGGAAACTGGAATTTAAATGGGAAAAGAATACTGAGAATGAGGAAATCCTGTCCTTGAAAAGGAAGGCAATTAAGTGGACTGTAGGTGATTGGATGAACTGACTGTTTTTCCACTGCCATTCGCATTGGAACCATCACCTTTGCTCACGGTGCTAGATGCTTTTTTGTAGATGTATAACACACTGTGTATACCTACTTTATACCACTTGTTTGGTACTATCACGTGTTACCTACCACAGAATTTGTTTTTTCTATTTGCCTAACCCTCCTTCCCATTCCGTAAGTGAAGTGCTTGTAACGTGTGAGAGAAGGCCTGTAAATAGTGACTTGCCTAAGAACTTTGCTTCCCTCTCCGCAGTTCGTCTACCCTCCCTACTCTAAAGCTTTTCAATTAGGGCAGCTGCTTTGGTAGTGGATTAGTTGCTCTTAGTAGGTCTGCTGAGTTAAACCTCAGGCAGCATCCTCCTCCACCTCATTACCCTGCCACTATGCTCTATGTGAAAACAAACAAATCTGCAGAGTTACTTAGGGATCAGTGGAACAAAGGAGCTATTTAGTATTCTGGCATATAGGTCTTCTTAAGAAAAGAAGAAAAAAGGGGCACAGTATAATGGGCCTACAAAAGCAAGAGCTTTATTTACAGAAATAAATAACCTCTGTTAATTGTATGGGGTTGACTGCAGATAACCTGATGATGAATCATCATCAGCTTGAAAGTGAACATCACTAATGTTGTTGGCATATAGCATAAGAAAAGAGAGAATAGTGTAGAAAATTAGCTGATTTAAAATGGTTACCATATGCTTACCATCAGGGCAATTGAAAATCCTCCCCGTCTGTTCTCTCCTCTAAACTGTATTGCAAACACCACCACCCAAATTCACTGGAGTGCAGGGGTGAAAAAACATTTAACATTTCAGAGTTATTCTTATGGTTTGGTGGTGATGTGTGATAACTCTACGTACACCTTAGGAATCCAGACTATTTGAACATAAGCAGCGGAGGTGGTTAATCAGGAGTATCTATGAGGACGCTGCATTTTTCCTCTTTCTGTGTTTTGTTCACACATATGCTTGGAGTGGTGGCATCTTGCTGGCTTTTTTCCCCACATTCTTTTAGTTTAAATGTATCTTTTTTTCAGAACTTCAATCTCGTATCCTGTGATCACAAAAAATGATTTGTGAAGAACAGGCAACTGATTCAAACAGGACGAAAAGGTTAAAAGAAAATAAAATTTTTAATTATGTCTGGATTCCATCCTACAATGAGTTTTATGGGTTTTTTAATCACCTACCTCTGGAGTTATTTCTACATCATTCCTTGTTGAAATCCATCATGGAAACAATTATGTAGTGTTCATTTCAGTCTCTGGTTCCGAACAGTTGGCCGAACTATAGTGTTAATATTGCAAGGAAGACAGCTTTCAGCTGATCATACCCCGAGCAGTGGTTTAGGAGGAAGTAAACTACATCAGCAGAGTAGTCAACAATCTTTCCTTCTCCAGGCACAGTTGCAAGAAGGTGTGTTTTGCCACCTGTTCCCAGCCAAACTAGTTCCTTTCCAGAGCAGTGTTGCTGGGAGAGATTGAATCTTCGGCTTTTGACTAATAGTGCCTAATGCAGTTCAGTATGAAAAGGTTACACTCATTTCACTTTCAGACTGGTATAATGGGGTCCTGTAAACAGGGTAAAACAAAACAGCTGGGGGAAAAAGTGTCCTGGTAATGGGATCCATTGCCTATATCTACCTAATCAAGAGGTGCAGTGTGGTAAAAGGACATCTGTAGAGTGCTGAGGACCCAGCTTTCATGCTGTGTTTGTCTCCTTTGGGTTTTTACTTTACAGCAGCAGCTTAGTCCTCTGATCTGAAAGCCCTTTTTTATTAAAGTGCATCTTCTGCTTTAGCTTCATCTAAAAGGAATCCAGTTCAGTGTATCCCAGACACTTTTTGACAAGTGTCATCAAGCTTTATGAAAGAGACAGCTGGTTCCCAAACTAGCCAATTTTACCTTAGGGTATACAATTTTGACAAGCTGATTCTGTGCTCTTAGTCTACGCTTTATGAAAGAGACAGCTGGTTCCCAAACTAGCCAATTTTACCTTAGGGTATACAATGCTATGTAGTTGAACATTTTGGCTTATTAGGAGATGCAGGTAGGAAATATATCTAGTTTATTGATGAAACATGGAGGTCAAAAAAGAGGAGAAATTAGCAAATGGAGTTCTGGAGTCTTGATTTCTGCAGCTACTCTTTGGATCAGTCGATTGCTGTCACCCTTTAAAATTTCTTGCAGTATACTAATCAAACTGTTAGATAACAAGTTCATGTACCTTACAGCTTAACATGGTTCATGGACCACAGACTCGAGAATGGCTGCATAGAACCGTACTCTTTATGTGCATGAAACAGTCATTTGTCTGCAAACATCTGCAAGTATTTAAATGATAGCTGTATTGTAATTTACATACTTACTAGACTTTTCATGAATATATGGAGTGTTGCAGGATTGGAAGTGCTGCTATTGCCATTTGTTGATCATTCTACTTCAAGCTGTTCAGTGCAAGACTTCATGAAATTAAGATAATTTGTACTGCTGTTGCTGAACACAAAGATTACTAAGGATGTTGATGATTTTGCATCATAAAAAGATTGAAAGACTAATAAACAGTCACATCTAGAACCTCTTCAATTTCATCAAATATTTTGTATATTAAATGAAATACAAATGTTTGTTAGGAAATTAAAAGCTTTAGAAACATTTTTTCCTTTTGTAATTGTTGTACAAATAGCAAATACTCATGCCTGTGTGAAATGAGTTCTCTGTAGACTTGGGATTAATAATAGCTAAAGTTTAGGTTTTGCTATTTCTTTGCTTTAGATGTCTGATGCTTGTAAAGCTTGAAAATGCTTGCCAAAAAATGCCAAGTTCTCATGGCACGTAGAAACCTTAACTCTCATCTGAAATAATGTGTGTCTTGTGGCTGTAATGATAATACTTGGATGTTCTTCCATGAAGGGTTTGTTTCCAGTCTGTGATTCAGACACAGCTTTAACTGTGCTAGTGGATGATCAGTCTGTGAGGTTAAGTTGTACCTTGTTTAATTGACTGCGCCACTTGATCTCAGTGTCGTAGTCGGTAAGATGTGTCTGACTGATAGTTTACGAAAGTGCACAGAACATAACTGTGGGTAGTCTCTTGCCAGTGCCCTTCACTTTAATTTCAGAACATACATCCCACTGTTTTTTCATCGTTACGTAAATTCTCTCTTCTTACACTTGGCCTTTAGAAGTTCGTGGCTCTTGCACATCTTCTGTGCTGCCATGATGCCATTGAGTAGACATACAGTCACATGAAAAATGATTGCCTAAAGGTTAATTACTGAAAAAACAAAGTAATGTGCTTGGGATAAAAGGACTTCATCCTTTTCTAAAATAATCTGTGTCTTATTTGTATAGTAGATTAATCACTGCTGCTTTGCCTTTGTGATAACGAAGGTAATCCTTTCTGTCTGCTTTTCTGAGAGACCATTCTTCTTCTCTTCAAGGACTTCCGTGATTCAGAATCATAGAATACTTCGGGTTGGAAGGGACCTCTAAAGGTCATCTAGTCCAACCCCCCTGCCGTGGGCAGGGACATCTTCAACCAGATCAGGTTGCTCAGAGCCCCGTCCAACCTGACCTGGAATGTTTCCAGGGATGGGGCATCCACTGCCCCTGTGAGCAATCTGTTCCAGTGTTTCACCACCCTCAGCATTAAAATGTTTTTCCTTATATCTAGTCTAAATCTACCCCCCTTTAGTTTAAAGCCATTCCCCTTGTCCTGTCACAACAGGCCCTGCTAAAAAGTCTGCCGCCATCTTTTTTAGAAGCCCCCCTTAAGTACTGACAGGCTGCAAGAAGGTCTCCCCGAAGCCTTCTCTTCTCCAGGCTGAACAACCCCAACTCTCTCAGCCTGTCTTCATAGGAGAGGTGTTCCATCCCCCTGATCATCTTCGTGGC